GTCTCGCGAGTAGTCTCTTCTGATTTCTGCCCGCTATGATTACTCTAGTTTTAGTTGTAACGATTTGTTATTTCCGGGTGGCCATTTCTTCCTATAAGGAGTGTAGGCGATTCATATTATTTTCCTGATCTTCTTGTATGTTTTCCATAGAAATCATATTTTTTTCCGTAGGCGTGTTGAATTTTGCACCGTCGTGTCTTGGGTTTCGTCATTGATCTTCGTTATTTCATCATACAAAGTCTTAATCCAAATGTCTAAGTGGGCTTCTCATAGTAAAATTTGAGGTATTGCTTAATTATAGGGAGCATGGTGTAACGGGTGTATAGTGAATGTGGATCATTGGTTGTCTTCTCCAGTCTATGCATGTAGTTGGGTTGCACATTGTAGGGATGTATCTTAGAAAGAGGTGAAAGAGTCTTATGCTTACTTCTGGTAAGGCAAGGTTCATTAATGATTTCACTAGCGCCTCTTCCTTTGTTTGATACTTTCTTAGAATCTTTCTCTTGAACCCCTTTCTGGTTCTTCCTCAACTCCTCTATTGGTTGTTATGGTAAGGTTGCGATGTCTAGATATGTTGGTGTGAGAATAGGTGTGTCTAAAGAATCTATTAGATTACTAACAAATTTCTATTTAAGTTTATGAGGAGTGATACTTACTAGGTCCTATAATTACGTCATGCAAAATAGTTATATATAACTAAGATCGAATAGTCTTTCGAATAAGTGATTCCACTCCAAGACCACAACCAAAAAAGGAACAGGAAGTAGAGCAAAAATCACAAATTCTAAGTCTATAAAGTGTCAATTATATATAACCTTATCGTATACACTCAGCAATTATAAACCTACTAGTAAGGGTCTTTTAGTTCTCACATATATTATGTATCCTTAAAATATTCCTGTAATATTTTAACTTTATGTAAGAGTTTCTTGGTATATGAAGTTGATAAGTTTCAAGACTTGTTGTTATTGTATAGTATCATAAAATACTCTTATAGTATTTTAAACTTTATGTTTGGTTCTAGTATTCCTTTGTATATATAATTGGTAAGTTTTAGACTTTTTGCCGCACCACAATCACTCCCAAACACATGTTGGTCATATCTCATATAAATATAGTTGATCAGGCTATATTTATCCCATATATGATTACGTAAATGTCTAGGTTTCACTGTAGTGTCCACATCTAAAAACTTTTGTTTTGTTCCTCTTGTGATACTTGTTCTAGTATATATGTATGCGTGTATACTTTTATAAAAATATTATTATATTTAAAAGTATAACTCTTGGTCAGAGTGTTTTAGCCCCATTGTACTTATAGTTGTATATCTTTTATAGGTTGATATACTTAGTTCACTATAAAGAATGCTTTGATACAAATCTATCACACCCCCAAACCCAAACGGCGGAAACATTCGGGGGTGGACATCATGTTTAGTATCACAATAATGCAATATAGAAATCAAAGTACAACATCCATTACATTGATAACCATTTTTGTAAAATAACTCTATCATTTGTTTCTTAAAAAGATAAGTATATTCACCCAGAAATTCCTATATTTTCTGTTGTATATGTATCTGTGTTCTGAAATAGTATCATATAGTTTTAATTCACATAAAACTATAAAATGAATCTTTTCCCTGTACTAAAATAGTATTTTGAATTTTATACTATTATGAATTCTCTGTAGAAGCCTAGGTTTACCTTTCGTATTGTAAAATATTGTCTTATAGTTTTATTATTTAATAAAACTATATAGAGTTGTTTTGTTATTCATAAATTAATTGCGTTATTTAATACCAAATTGTGAGTTATCATAACCATGCTTGATGACCTAAGCCTCGCCTGAAACACGACGTTCTTCAGGCGTCAAAATACGGTATGACAATTGTCACCACAGGTTTGCCGATCTAGTTGTTGCAAGCAGCTCTGGTGCGGGATTATCATTTACATATAGATCTATACACAAGTGTCACACTCTCCCTCAAGGAGATTCTGATTATAATTTTCAGGACTTTTGTTTTATACCTAAATAAGTACTTGAAACGTGTCTCACAAATGCTATATTGACAGTTACGTGTAGAATAAACAATAATATCTTTGTAATAGATAAACTGTAAATCTCTAATAAATTATATTTAATATAAGTTATATAATTATTTTTGTAAGTAATTCTGAATATATAAAGCAACGCATAAGTTCCATAAACTATATTTGTTTTAGTTTATAAGTTTATTTCGGTTTTATAATCTGAACCTTGTAAAATAGTATCTTTGTTCCATAAACTAGATTTATATAGTTTACCATACGACTCAAGTATACTCAATATATGTATATATAATCATATATTTTAGTTGATTAACACAAAGTCTTTTGAACTTGTTTATTAAGACAATATGTTTTTATCAAAACTTTACCCATAATAATGTATATAAAGTTGATAGTAAAAATCTCTTCATAAAATAGAAAGATAAACATAATTGAATATTTGCATGTAAATTTTCTTGTATTTTACATGTATTCCCCCTAAACTATAAAAATATAGTAAAAATATAGGGGTATAAAGTCACTTGATAGTAATGGTGATTTGAGTAGCACTTTGTTGCTAAAAAAGGCTTTACTACTGAAAATCGAGCTTTGCGAGGGTCGAGTTAGAAACTGAAAGACTCTTTTCTTGTGGACTTCTAGTGCTTCGAGATGTTCTTCGGGTGTTAGATATGTTATCGGGACTTTGGGGGTGTTGTAAGAAGGTTTATGGAAGTGAAAGAAGTGAAAAAGTGTGAAAAATGGTGTAAAAGAGGTGAAGGAACTGGGAGATCTCGCACGTCTTATATAGGGAGCGAGGGTTCGGACCGAAAGGGGAAGGAGGACATGCGTCTCGGTTCGCAGGAGGACACGAGGCAGAGCTCGGACGCGCCACATCGCTGTACACGCGTTAGAATCGGACTGGACCGCGCTTCAGATACGTCACTAGCTCAGACACGAGGTGGACACGCGTCTCGCATGCGAAGGTGATACGTGGCCGAATCCGGACCTTGTCTATGTGAAAGTTCTCGGTTTTTGTGCCCAGAACATTAAAAGTTCATAACTTTCGCATACGAGCTCCATTTTCGACGTTCTTTATATCCACATAGGTGAGATCATACTCTACAACTTTTGTTTCAACTCCCTTGGCAAATTTTGAATTTATTTTTAATATTATTATTTTTAGCAGACCGAGACAGGAAAATTCGTTGAAAATTCACAACTTCTTCACCCGATGTCCGTTTTCGTTTGTCTTTTCGCCGTTGTACTACTATTGATGAGACATTCGATTCTCGTTCAGGTTGTGTCGGCTAAAAATTGTCCGATCTATATTTCGTATTTTGGGTTGTGTCTTTTATGTCGAATGTTAGAGAAATCATAACTTCTTTATACGAAGTCAGATTTGAACGTTCTTTTTATGGACACTGTCGGTTTAACGTATGATACAACTTTCATTTAGATACCTAAGGATAAAAAGCATTTTTTTGAGAACTCACTTTTTACGCTGAATAGTGTTTTGTCGGTTTTGTCGCGGATCTTCGATAGGTCATAACATCTTCGTTATAACTCGGATTTTTGTTTTCTTTATATTTTTGGAATCCTTGTTACAATATCTACCGCTTTATTCATCCCAATTAAGATTATCGAACAATTTATTTTTGACGTTACTGTTCATCTCAATTAATTTCTATTTTATTATTTCAAAATAAGTTACAATAGTTGACCTAAACTATTACATTATGAATTTACAAGTATATAGGTAGAGTTTAGACCTTAATAAATCATGAATTTTTCGAGTTATGACAAAAAAAATCTTAATAATTTTTACAATACTATTTGACAATGTTTATTTCGTGGTTAATAACAATGAATTAAGTATAGTTAACAAATTATTAATTATTAACATATTTAATTTATTATGACAAATATCATTCATATTATTTTATTTATATGTATAAGTGATAAACCTATGTTATATTATAAGAATTAAAGCAATATGGTTTAAGAACACTAATTATTTTTTACAATAGTAATTGAAAGTGTTTATTTTATGCTTAGTGACATTGGTCTAAATATTTTTATCAAAATATATGTGTTATAATTATCTATATAAATATATTTATGCAATGCGTGGGGATTTGCCTTATATATATATATATATATATATATATATATATATATATATATATATATATATATATATATATATATATATATATATATATATTTACATATATATATATATATATATATATATATATAGAGAGAGAGAGAGAGAGAGAGAGATAATATAATTCTGAAACACACTTGAAAAAGGAGGAAAATAAGATTGTGAAAAAGGCTGCCAAGAAACAAATAACATCTAAACAAAAAAAATTACTTTTAAAAGAAATCCGAATGATGAAAGGATAATTGTTTTTAAAGTGATGAAAGGGGAGAATTCAACTTTGATAAAAAGGTCTTACTTTGTTGATGAAGCAATAACTTTTCATGTTCCCAAGAAAACCTCACGAGGACCCAAGCAACTTTGGGTTCCTAAATCTCTCTGATTTTTGTAGGTGATTCGTGACGAGCAGTATGACTCCGAATGGTATATTGATTGTGGTTGCTCGCATCACATGACTAGGAGGAGAGAAGAGCTGAGGGAATTTCGATCACTGAAGAAACAGGGGGAAAGTAAAGTACGAGAATAATGGTACGAGAGAAATCAAAGGATATGGGATGATTACGAATGGTGAATTCTCCATTTGAAAGGTAGCATATGTGGAAGGCCTGCAACATAACCTGATAAGCATTTCTCAATTGGTTGTAGGTACTTGTCTGAAGGTATCATTCGATTATGAAGGATCCAAAATAATAGAGAAAAAGTCCAAGACAGTGCTTCTAAACTCCAAACAAAAAGGCGAGATGTTCCCATTGAATCTGAATCCTATTATGGGAAAGCCTGCCATTTGCCTCCTTACGAAAGCTTCTTTAGATGACAATTGGTTGTGGCACCGAAAACTCTCGCATCTCAACTTCAAGGTCATCAACAAACTCGAACTGTTTCTTTTTAAGAACCAAAAATATTTGTGCCAAAATAACAGATGCCAAGATGAACAAAAGGCCTTGTACACATAATGGATCTTGAAGTACTATTTTTGCATCTCCCTGACCAAATCCGACCACATTAGGATTACGTGTCAACGGTTGCTCAAATTTGATAGATTCGCCTTTTGAAACAAAAAGTTTTGGCCCCATAGGGATAATATCAACCACTTGACGTCCATCCAATGCATCTGCTATGGTTATTTTGTATCCCTCCTTTTCTTTTCGTAGGATTTTGTTTACTATACCGAATGCTGTAGAATTATAAACTGTATTGTAACTCTTTCTCCCATCAGGATAAACTTGGCCCCTTCCCCTATTTTCGCCTACGTATATAGGATATTTTAAGAAGTGAACGTCTTTCTTAGTAGTGGCGTCCGGGGAAAGAATAGGAAACGCGATTTCACTATATTTCTGACCAGGAATAGGGCCTATGACAAAAAAAAAAAAAAATTTATTTGGGCGATAGCTTTGAAAAGACAGATTGCCCATCTTTTCTTTTATCTCGAGGGAAATACGATCGGGAGGGGCTAATTCAAAACCCTTTGGTAAAATAAGAGCAACCCCCACATTTAAAGCCCCTTTTTTACCATTAACAAAAACTTGTTTCAGTTGCATATCATAAGGAATTCAAAGAACTGCTTCAAATATAGTATCGGGAAGTACCGTTTACGAAACCTCAATATCCACTGGTTTATTAGCTAAAAGGAAATTGGCGCATACAATACGTCCAGTCACTTCTTGTGGATTTTCATAACCCTTTTGTGCGAAAATGGGATATGCATTTGAAATGGATGCACGATTTATGATATATATCATGAGCGATACGGAAACAGATCAAGTAATCTGTTCCTTTATCCAAGAAAAATTATTTCTAGTTTGCATGGTCCAACCATTGATCCCGAAAATTTATACAATAAATTGGGGTAGGTCACTAATGGAGTTTCCTATCCACGATTCTATTATTTACTGGAATAATTTGACTGGATTAATATATAGAATGAATCTTCGGGATGGGTAGAAAGATAAAGAGTGAGTACGATTTTCATTGCTTTGCTTATGTATAACTGCAAAGTAAAAAACATTCTAACTGGATTAGGTAGATAATTTTTTCAGTCATTCATTGAATGATAAATCACTACAAGTGACAGAGATACGAGATTTAAATAATGGAAAATCCAATGTTTGAAAACTGTATCTATAATGACTGGAAAAGTGGAAACAAGGCCAGATATAATTTGCTCATTATGAATAAATCCAAAATCCTTGTAGACAAAGCCAATCATCAGTTCCCAACCATGGGGCGAATGAAATCCGATACATAAATCAGTTAATAAAAGAAGAGAAAACGCTTTTATTGTGTCACTTAAGTTATATAGGAATTCCTGAACCCAACAGTTAAGAATAACAAGTACTTTATTACCCAAAAGAGAATAACCGCTTAGAATAATGAAATAGATTATATTTGTCGAGAAGTGCAAAATCGTATGAATATGACCCTCGTTGTGTATCTTGATTAATTGGATTATTTCTTTGTGAATTCCTATACAAAGGTTTTTGTAGATGCATCTCTGAGTATTCTCTAATCATTTCTTCTAAGAAGAGGAGTTCCTCTAATTCTATGAGTTTTTCTAGAATACTCTTTTCTTCAATATCATTAAAAAAAGGTTCGGATTGCCTAGTATTCCAACAATTAGTAACCTAGGATTCCATACTTTTTTGAAATGAGAGAGAAATCCACCAGGGCAAAAATACTATAGATGCAAGATATAAAAGAGGAGTGAATGCTTTCTTTTTTGCATTTTTTCATCTCTGAATTGTTAATAAACCTATCTCATTTGTAGACTCTATGTAATCTAATATTTCTCCCGCATCAGTTCTATTACAAGTTATCAAACCTATGAATTTAGAAAAAATATAGAAATAGATGAAAAATTGGAATGGATAAATAATCAAAAAATAATGTTTACCTATATCTCAATTGGTCAAATTTGAAGGACATATCTCCTTTCCATGAATGCCCAGAAAAATTGAAATAACGAATAATATTATTCAGATTTTGAGACGAAAGAACTCCTTTTCTATCATTATATAAAAATCTCTAATATTTCGAAAAAATTGAACTTACTATGAGTAGTCAGGGATAGAATAATTGAGGGAAATTTCTAAAGAATATTGTGAAAACTGAGTGGCAAAAAACGATATAAATTTGCTAATTATCATTATAAGAGATTCAATTCTTTGGTCATTAAGGAGCACAAAAAGTATAAAAATAAGCTTCGAAAAAATTACATGATATGATCTCTAAAGTCCCAATTCCAACAAGTTAAAAAGGGTAGAATTTCCTTATTTCTAAATAGTTGATTATGAGATATTTCGATTTGTTTCTTATTTTTTTATTGAATTGAGTTATGTATATTTCGATACATCTAAAAGATCCCCAAAATAGTTTTTTTTTACTTGTTCTACATATGTCTGCTTTGACTCGAATGAATGTTCTGAAGAAACCTCAATTAAGTTATGTTATGGAAAAAGAGCATTCTTGCGTTTTTGCCCTCCTGCTGATAAAGCATTCCGGGTCATTTCTTAAAATACTTCAATTGGTACACGCAAGAAATAGGCTAATTTAGCAGCTTTTTGTTCCGTTTCCCGTGGAGTAAAACTCTCATCAGTACGAGTCAATAGAATGGCTTCCTGGCCTCTGATATCCATATAAAGGACACGGCGAGCATAAATACCTTCTTTGACTTCCATTCTAATAAACTGAATATCTTTTATAAGAAAGTGGAGGAAGACCCGACGATTTTTTCCAAGAAATCCGCAACGAAAGATACACACTATTCCATCTTTTCTATCAAATCGATCATAACCACTACCTACATTTGACGAAATTGTGCACCATAAATAGGTGCTAATAAAAAGACCCGCAATTCCATAGAAATATATCACAATTCCTTGTGGAAAAAAACTATTTTCTGAGATGGAAATAAAGATATCAAATTTCTACCAAGATAACTCGTTGTTCCAACCAAGAAGAATCCTAATGAACCTAAAAAAAGGATAACAGTCCAAAAGAAATTACTTGTTTTTCGAGCCCCCGTTATAGGTTCTATCCATATATGTTCTGATCGACAACTCATACTTTATCCAATTGATTTTTTTTGGAATTGAGAGAACACCCCAAATGAATTTGACTTTAGTCCTTTTTTTTTCCAAAGTAACTCGCATCAACTAGCACTAGTTTAATGTGATCCTTTAGGAGTAATTCATTTAATTCATTAGATCTAAACTAATAACATACCCTTCGTATGATCTCACTAAAGATAGCTAATTAGATATAGATAGACCAACTTTACATTTAAGTTATCCGTCAATTCAGGTCTATTTGAAAATAGCTAGAATCCATTGATCCCTATACCATTTTATAGAGACATAAGAGTTTTTCGGCGGAAGCCGCTTATACCATATTTTGCTCAATAGATATCTATGTTATGATACAAGCATCAGTTTTGAAAAAAAATAGATGGATTTTGTACCATCGACTCTAAACAATTTTAGTTTTTTGAACATGAAGAAATAAAGAAGCCATTGTGATTGCTGGCAGTACTAGACCTACTAAAGGCACCAAAACAGAGGGAAAGTTAAGAGTTGTCATAGAATGGCTACCCCGATTTACTATTTGTACCTGTTATTACTATTTAGTTTTTTATTTATAATATAAAGATATCTTATCATATATAAAGATATCTTATTATAATTTGATAATTCTAAATTTGAATTATTATTATCACTTAATAGCTAGTAAGTATAAATATAAGTATCTATCTAAATGAGTATATAATGTAGTTTTTGATCTTTCTACATGAAAGATTTGAAAGGATATGGATGAGATATTATTTTCTTCATTTTTTGCTCTTGTCTTCGAATTTCATTTACTAAGCAAAAAGGTTCTTAAAAATTAATTAGATTCTATTTCTATTTATAATTATATTTAATATATTGAAGGGTTTGTTAGAATCTCATCCATCAGGGATTCTTAGTCAAAATAGGATTATCATAAGATGTAAAAAAAGAAAAAATTCAATATTTTATAGATTTTCATTATATATGACGATAAGAGTATATTTTTTTGATTTGCCTAATTTCACGAAAAATAAGAATTTCATATTTTATCTTGTTAATACAGGCTTCTTGATCACTAATCAGGAATATAGAAAAAGGGGCAGATTTTTTGTGACTTTTGATTCTTTATATAATAAGATCTTATGCCAACCATGAAAACCCCATTTGTCTAATTTCAACTTGGATTCCGATAAACTAATTACTTGTTGCGAACCTTCCACTATACTTCTGGGCTGAGGCTATCGGAACAACATGCTATACTGAAAATCGATCACTCATCAATAAAAGATTTTCAATAACTCCTTATAAAATCTTAAATAAACGAAAACCTAATGTCAAGTTCTTTCATGTGTTTGGTTCTAGGTGTTTTTATCTTCAATTCTAAAGAGCAACATAACAAGTTCTATGTGAAAGCTGACGATGGGATCTTTTTGGGGTGTTCTTTTACTTCGAAGACATATAGGGTTTTGAACAAAAGGTCGAAAAAGATAGAAGAAACCTGTTATGTCACGTTTGATGATAACTATATTAAGAAGTATAAGAAAGTTGATTGTCATTCTGAGGAGATTTTTCCAATGAAAAATACGATGACGATTCATCTTTCCAATCTCTACGATGTATTCATGAATTTTTTTAATGAGCCAGAAAAGGCGATTTCTTCGGAATCAAAAGCAGAAAATAACAAGGAATATGAACTAAAGAAGATCATTGTGATGCCGCCAAAGACCTTGAAATAGAGCCTCAAATTCGAAACACCTCCTAAATTCCACCTTCACTATAAGCTACGAATGCACATGTTCAGGGAGAGGGTTCTACTTCAACCTCAACATCCGATTCACATTCAGGGTGGGGGGGGGGGAATGAAAACCCGAAATTCAGCCTAAACACTCCAATCCAGGGGGAGAATCTGATTCCGAATATTAAGCCAAATGCACCGTTCCAGGGGAGAATGTGTGACAACCCAAAACTTTCCATTATGTACAACCATCCACTTCAATAGAAGTCAAAATTGTTTCTACTAACTTTCAAGCTTGTTGGAGTAAGTTTGAGTGTTTTAAAGTTAGTGCTTCCAGAGGATATCAGGAGAGAGGATACACGAGGGTTTATTACGTAACAATAAGTGTCCAAAACTTCAAGAGATGGAATTTACAGTCCAAAAATGGTATTTGGACCAAAAACCCCCGAGACTATATAAGGAAAACTTAACCATTTGGAATTCATTTTTTACATTTCCAACTAGAGAAAACCCGATTTCTCTCTCAAGGATCTTCACCCGATCACCCCCAATTGTGAGTACTTCAACCTAGAGTGTATATAAGTGTGTTATATGCCTTAATAACATGAAAAATCAAACCAAGACACCAAGGAAA